AACCACAGCTGGTGGTGAAGAGGTTTAACCATTCCCTCCCCAATGGTGATCACAATGGAAAGTGCCCCCATGCCACAATTAGCCTATATCTCCATTTTCCCCAATCATTAATTGCAGCAGGGCTGGAAAGGGAAGGGTTAAACCTTACCTCCCTGTGTGCTGTGGACTCAATTGTAATTGGGGACTGCAAGACCTGGGAGAAAGATAGATGATAGATGTGGCTCCTGATGTGGCCACAATCCATGCAATTAATGTAACATGTAGCTGGGCCCTAATACAAGAGTTTCATGTATTCAGATGTAATACATGAATGTAGCAGATCTAGGGTGTGCATTGCCATCTGCAATCTTGAATGGAGGTTTTTGGCTTGAATACAACTGGATGGGTTGAATAATAGGATTAGATAATTTCTTTATGTAGTTTTCCTACAGCACCTGATATGCTGTAGGGGAAAATCATATTCTGTTTGCATGGAATATACAAGCCCGGCCACTGAATCACTATTTTCCTTTCTCGAGTTAAAAGTTCAATATTTTTACACATGTCCAATATTTTGTTAGTGCTAAAAATGGCACTTAAATTTTTAATCCATTCCCTGGAAGGATGTCAAGATTTCAGACCACCCTTACAGCAAAATGAGATGGCTGTCATCTTGCAGCCTACCTAACCTCCTTGGTAATCATAATATATCATTTTTGTTGTGAGTAATTTGAGCCACGGTCCCAGGCCTTCAAGCATATCCAGTATCTATCTGCCTGGAAATCCCCTAAGCAACTTGTGAGTCATTCAATCACCGAAAAGGCTTGGAAGCATTTCTACTAGGAAAGAAATCCCTTACAACCTTTTATTATTACACATTTTTAAGCAGGCTTCGAAGAGAGAGAGACCTTGGGGAATGACGGATTTGTGGTTTATGCCAATACCTGTGAAAATAGCTGAGCAAAATTGTCATGAAAATTTACTTCCACGGGAACAAAACATACACAACTGCTTTTACCAGACGGTGAATGTTTCTTTAAAAAAATTAATTATATTTAACTTGAACATCCATCAAAGCAAACTCCCTTCAGGAAAGTAGACTAGTGCAAAGCTGTGTTTAGTTAAGAATTAGATAGCTTGTGAATTGGACAAGAAGAAAATAACCCATGCTCCAAATTGGAAAGTGAGCCCCATGGACCGACTGTTCCCTATAAAAGATTTTACAGGATGGGGTCTTTTTTTAAAAAAAGGCCGAGGCACTTGGCCAACAACATTAAGGTATCTATTGAAGTAACAAATGCATTGCTTCTCCATGGAAATTGAACCCTTCCTGATAAACAAAATTGAATGCTGTGTCAGGATTCTTGGCAAGGTACAAACTGGTTATAGGAAGGATGAGCAAGAAAGAATAGGCCATGGATGGTGCCTTATAGCAGAAATGGGGAATCTGTGACCCTCCACTTATTGCTAGACCACAGCTCCCATAATCCCTGTGCAATGATGCTGGGGATTGGTAGACTGGGCAGTATCTGAAGGTCCACAGGTTCCTCAACTCTGGTTCATAGAAAGCTGCCATACCTTGATTCAGACCATTGGTCCCTCGAGCTCAGTAAGGCCCACACTGACTGGCAGTATCTCTCCATGGTTTCAAGAAGGGATCTGTTCCAGCCCAATGTGGAAAGGCTGGGGAGTGAACCTGGCACCCTTCTACATGAAAAGCATGTGCTCTACAACTGTGCCGTGTCTACAGCCTGCCTTTACTGTTGCTTCTCCTCACACCTGTTCTCTAATTGGATGCATTTCCTTAATTCGAACACCTCTTTCCCTCTGTTTCAGATCTCCAGTGTAACTCTCATCCTTCCTTCTCAGTGGATGTTCCAAGAGTGGATTCACTGGTGTGTTTTGTTCAGTCCAGACACTGAGGTCCAGCGCTGAGGGCCTTCTAGCAGTTCCCTCACTACGAGAAGCCAAGTTACAGGGAACCAGGCAGAGGGCCTTCTCGGTAGTGGCACCCACCCTGTGGATCTCCCTCCCATCAGATGTCAAAGAGAAAAATAACTACCAAACTTTTAGAAGACATCTGTAGGCAGCCCTGTTTAGGAAAGCTTTTAATGTTTAATAGGTTATTGTATTTTAGTGTTTTGTTGGAAGCCGCCCAGAGTGGCTGGGGAAACCCAGCCAGATGGGCGGGGTATAAATTATTATTATTATTATTATTATTATTATTATTATTATTATTATTATTTTAAAAAACAGCTCGGAGAAGGAAGATGGTGCCCCATTTTTACTGCAACAGTGGAACTAGAGATGGAGGGTGTTTAACCCATGCAGTGTCTCTGATCAACAGCCTGCCCTGGAGGAGGAAAATGTTATCTATAACCGGAAAATAGGAACCTGCCCTATACAGAGTCAGACCATTGGACCATCTGGCTTTGTATTGTCTACTTTGACTGGCAGAAATTCTCCCGGGTTTCAGACAAGCTTTTCCCAGCCCTTCCTGGAGACATCAGTAAAGGTAAAGGGACCCCTGACCATTAGGTCCAGTCGTGACCGATTCTGGGGTTGCGGCACTCATCTCGCTTTATTGGCCGAGGGAGCCGGCGTACAGCTTCCGGGTCATGTGGCCAGCATGACTAAGCCGCTTCTGGCGAACCAGAGCAGCGCACGGAAACGCTGTTTACCTTCCCGCCGGAGTGGTACCTATTTATCTACTTGCATTTTGACATGCTTTCGAACTGCTAGGTGGGCAGGAGCTGGGACCGAGCAACGGGAGCTCACCCCGTCGCAGGGATTCAAACCACCGACCTTCTGATCAGCAAGTCCTAGGCTCTGTGGTTTAACCCACAGCGCCACCCATGTCCCAGAGACATCAGTAATTGAACCTAAGACCTTCACATTCAAGGCAGATGCTTATTTATTAAGAAGTCAGGTGATCTAATATTGGATTCTCCATATTACACTGGCTTTTGACCCTCAGTACCCAAGGCAAGGTGATGGACCTTCCTGGCCTGATCTTTATCTCCATCGCTGCCCCTGAACCAACTCTGGCAGATTCCACAAGCTCTCTGCCTCTCTCCAGATCACCTGCCTTGGCCTCAACTGCCTTGGCTACATCTGCTGGGGCTTGCCTCTTGCTTGTGGAACAGATTCCAAGTAGTCATCATCATCACTAATCCCTTAAGGAACTTCTATATAAAATATTAGGGAGTATTGCACTCAGCTGCTGTAGCTGACTGTATCCATTTTTCCTCGAATCTTTCACCTATTTAACATCCCAAGCTACTTAGCATTTATTTATGGAGTTTTAAAAAGTCACTTTTCATAAATAGTATTCTAATCAGGACACCGATATCACTAAGGTAGGTCAGTATTGTATTCTCAGCATAATACACTGACTAAATCACTTTAATCATCGAGAGAAGCCTTCTCAATTGTCCCATTATGTCATAGTCATTTAGTTTATATGCAAACTAAAGCTTTTGGCATAGTGGTGCCAGTACTTTGGAACACTGTTCTCATTGGAATCAGCAGCCAACAACGATTCTGGTATTTTACCACCGGCTGAAAACGTTTCTCGTTTCATCAAATATGATTAGGGGATGAGACTGATTCAGAGTTGGCCATTTCTTTTGCACCTTATTCTTTTGCAATGCTTTAATTATTGTACTCTATACCACCATGGTATTTCCCCGAGTGTTGGTTTAAAAACTCTCCTGTAAATAAAATTAATTGCACAGAGGTGTGTGTGCTTGTGTGATGGAAACAAGGTAGCGGCTTACCTAGTGAATTCATAGCCAAGGTGACATTTGAGCCAGAGACTTCTCGACCCCCAGTTTCTAGCCTGAGACTGATCTAACTGGATTATTATTATTTTGGGATAAACCATTAGAAACACTTAATGACCTTGCTAAAATGGATAAATGGCCCCAAATCAGTAAGTGTGATATCCTCCAAGGGCAAAGTAGCAGTTTCTCTTAATGAATATTGGCAAACTTTAACCCCCGCTCCCAAGGTCAGTTGATTTAGTATCCATGGGGATTTAGTAGGAGTTGCAGTTGCACAGCTTGCAAGACAAGCAAGGCACTAGATGCCTCACTAATAAAACTTCATTGCATATAAGTTCAGGCACTCTCCTTTGACTTCCTACTACTTTTGCCCACTTTTTCCACACAATGCAAAATTTTACAAACTATTCCTATTGTAATATTCCATTTAAAAATAAATAAAATACTGAAACCATGGTTTCCCCCCTATATTAATCTTGTATTAAATTTTATGCTTTTCATCTTGTCAGCCTGATCTGGAATATTGTCCTAATGGAAGTTCACCCAATTCCCTCTTCACTGTATTTTAGACAAACTGAATATGTTTCTTTTATTTCAACACTTTCCGTGTCACTGTTTTTAGACTGCTTTTGACTACCACTTTTAAATTGTCTTCTTTTAAAATGTGTATTTTTTTTGTAATGAGAGACTTGTTTTGTTGTTTTGTTTTGTTTTGTTTTGGTGTAAGGTGCTTTGGGTGCTCTATGACCAGATAAGTGAGGTACAAAAATATTAAGCTAAAATCCCCCTTTAGTGTTTCAGCCTTTGCTGAATCCCCCCCACCAACTGAATTCATTAAGCAGTCTGGTTCGAATCCCCATGATGGGGTGCACTCCCATTGCTCGGTCCCAGCGCCTGCCAACCTAGCAGTTCAAAAGCACCCCCGGGTGCAAGTAGATAAATAGGGACCGCTTACTAGCGGGAAGGTAAACGGCGTTTCCGTGTGCGGCTCTGGCTCGCCAGAGTAGCTTCGTCATGCTGGCCACGTGACCCGGAAGTGTCTGCGGACAGCGCTGGCTCCCGGCCTCTAGAGTGAGATGAGCGCACAACCCTAGAGTCTGGCAAGACTGGCCCGTACGGGCAGGGGTACCTTTACCTTTATAAGGCAAATAAACAGCAAAGTAGGGCATGGAGGATATATTTTTGGCCAGTATTCCATTACAAAAGGGGGGGGGACCCTCATGCAAGGCTAACAGATTTGAATAAACACATTTTATTTTTGAAGTTTTGAGCAGTCCAAACAAAAAGTTGTCGATATAATATAAATACAAAAGTATTTAAAGCACATCATTGACAGCCAACTACATGGTATGCAAGAACTATAGCAAACCACAGGAGCAGCAGAATATTGGAATATTGGTAAATAACAATGGTTTCCTAGGGCATCACGTTATGTTCACATATACAGGGTATGCAGACTCTTTGAAATAAAACTGAAATTGTACAGAACTTCAGGTCTTTTCAGAAACAGATCAGCATTTTTAAAAGAGAGTAATACATTTACATAGGCACACATCAGTGTTCTGCTTGTTTCAAGAAGGTAAAAAGAAACTTGATAAAGAGAGTCTCCAATTTGTAGGTCTCCATCATTCTTTAAGAATACTGCTATCAGAAAGAATACAACTATTAAGATAAAAACAAACAGAATGGAAAACAAACAAACAAATTCAACATCTGAGATTTGAGTATAGGCGTGGAGCATTCTAACATTGGGCTGGGATTCAGACAAACAAGATACACAACTCCATATGCCCAAGCAAGTTTGGCTTTATGTTTCTTAGGCTGCAGCTTCCCAATGTCATATGGCAAACCACTTTTCACACTAAGGAGAGTTTCAAGACAGCTTGCAAAAAAAGGAAGTAAATAAATGAATTGGGCACATCTAAAGTAGGGCTCTAGTTCCAAGCCCTGGATTAAAATCCAAGACACTTGTCAGAAAATCCCTTTCTGATAAAAGAGACTTTAAGCCAAATAGTATTTTGCATTGGTGCCTTATAATGACAAATTAGTCATGTGTGTTACTTGTTTGTTGTGTAAATCAAAAACCTTTATTCAAACCATTCAAACCATTTGTGTATATCCAAGAACAAAGTTTATTTATAATGATTTTAAAAATTATAAACCAAAGCTGACTTTGAAGCTTCTCTTTCAATTCTAGCTGTGCAATATGCATGTTTATTCCTTGGTTTAATGCTGTTTTGTGTTGAATTTTAAACACAGGAACAAAAATTTAGAAAGTACAGGTTTACTTGTTTAAAAGCATCTGTTATGGCTCATTCCCACAATGTGTATGGCACTCAACCAAATATTTTTCAAGAGCAGAACACAAAACAGTTTGACACACCAGATATTATTTCAAGGATGCATCCTTCCTGCATTGGCATGTACTATAGTGCCACCTTCTGGTCAAGCCTACTGTATACATACAGCCTCACAGCAAGTTTTCAATTATAGTGTGTAAATTGGGTGTTTGAAGTAGTTCAAATATTGATTTTCCAAGGCATTGTGGTTGAACTCCTTTATCAAAGATATATTTTACTAACATAGCCAAATCACAATTAGGACGGGAAGAATTTCTCCTTGAATTAAAATGGTGTTAATTTCCTACCCGACCGATCATTGACAATATTTCAACCATGTTTTTGTTATAATTATACAAGGAAAGCTATGGACAGTTTTTGGGAAACAGTTCAGAGGTATCAATAGTTTAAAAACATATAATTGGTTTAATAATAGCTGCATTTAAAGAAGTACCCTGTGAAATGCTGGAAGCCAAATGTGAAGGCTGAAAAGATAGGATTTTAATATCAAGAGTCTGCAATCTAGTGTTATTTCTAAGACGGTTAAATGGAAGAAACATCAACTGTCTTAGAGACTCTAACCAGTAAAGAGAATTACTTTCTTACGGATTCAAATTTTGCTACTATTAGGATCATGGGGTAAGTGAAGTATAGTGGCGATGGCAAATATGTTTAGAGAAAATTGTTCACTTCATTAAATAACCACTTCCCAATTTGTTACATACGATAAATGTAATATGTAATAAATTTATTACATATGAGGGGAGTGTAAACTTATTACAACCCACATTCAACAAATGTAGACCTTTCCAATTGGAAAGGTAACATTTCTTATCATCAGGCAAAATCATGAACTTGTGATAATTGAAAGTGAAGCTCCCACGGTGACACTAAAACATCTCCATTAAACCCAGGGGTAGTTGTGGTCATATAGGGATAGAGTGGTCTGTTTTGAAGGAGCAGAGAATGTGGGTTCATGTAGTTGACTTTGTGTGACTGCATGCAATTTCAAAGTCATTGAAATAGCTTCTGAAAGGGTTTCCATTCCTGTGACAGATTTGGTAAGTCACATAGTAAACTAGATATGACTGTTCAGAACAAGTATGGTTCACTAAACTTGTTTAGACAATTTATTACCATAGGAATTCCACTCACAACCACTACACAATGGGGGGAACTCTTGGCTGCCCGAATCCACCTGAGTGTTGACTTTTAGAAAAACCAAAAACACAGAAAAACTCCCCCCTCCCCCGAAGTAACTCAGGCTTATAATTAAACAATTTAACATTCCACACTTTGGCCTTTGTGTTGTCCTTTAGCAAATCTGCCATTTCTTACCCATGGATGTCAGCAGCAAAATCTACAAATATTTATATGCAGGAAGAAACTAGCTTAAAACAGAGGTTATTGAAGAGCAGTTCCTTTAAATAGGTTTTCATATTAATCACTAAAGGAATATGACTACATTTGCCAAGTTTATGGTAATGTGCGTATAATGGCTATAATGAGATCACTTACAACATTAAGGAAAAGAAGTAGACTTGTTTGCTCCCTACTGAAAAAATCTGACAGGTCACTGTTCTTCATTAGTGACTCTAGCAAGGAGTAGTGCTGAACACTATCTTCAGACCAACGGTTTGCAAGCCTACATTGAGACATTTCTGCCACAGGCCAGAGGACACATAAACCAAAAGAAACTGCTGTTCGGACTGTGAACACATTTGACAGTTCCAGCATTATTTGGCCTAGCAAAATAAAGCCATGATATGCCTGTTTCTGCACAGTTCACAGAGGAATAAAATGTCACATTTTTTTACAACTTTTGCATGAGCTGAGCATTACAAAGATTAGGGTACAGGACTGCCAAGAGGAAGCACTTACGTTTAATTGCTTTAAGTGAGTGAGATATAAACACACTCAACATTTATCTGCTTTAGGGTGCAATCCTATAAAGATTTAACTGGGAAGAAGTCCTATTGAACTCAACAAGGATTATTCCCAAGGAGAAAAGCATCAGATTGCACTCTGAAAGTACTAGACTTTGGGCAGGGTTGTGCTCTAAATTACAAATCTTCTCCCCTGGTGTCATTACCATTTAACACAGCTACATTGTAATGACAGGATGTATGTTAAAAGGTAAAAATGTAGGGTGTGTTTATTGTTAGAACCAACAGGTTATCTGCATTATTTCAAATGGCCTGCTTTATCGATGTTGCTTTTCAGAGATAATGTGAATCATGCAAATGTCTGCTTTTATACAGCAGTGAATGCTGTATAAGAAGCATTAAGATGTTCAAAGCCAAACATTGGGGAAAACCACTTGTGTGGTTTTCTGCAAAGTGCTTCAGGAGGAAGCAAGGAATAAAGCAAAAGGCGATGCCTAAACCCCAAGATATTCAATTATCTTCTCTGGTTCATTCTAAGCCACAATCTTAGCACTCAATTTTGGACATGGCCGAAGTGTGCCCTATGTGTTACTGAAATCTAGTAGAGTTTGGTATTCTAGTTACTGCAGTATTAGGTTAGTTCAGGTAAAAGCCCTAGATGAACTTAAGTTTGTTTAAAACGAGCACAATGCTGCATAAGCACCCGATATCCTGCTGTTTAATCACATACTGTTTGTTGGTTTTCAAGGATTTAAAAGCAGCATGCGAAAAGCCCTTCCAACACACCAAGCCAATTTCTCTTTGCTGGTGGTTTGCTCCACAATGCTGTGATCCTTAATACATTTAGAGGTGTTTTAAGTTCCAAAGGGATTTATGGACACAAATTGTACAAAACTGAAGACAGGAAGATTTGGTTTCAGGTGGATCTTAAGGCTCTTCTCTATTTCCACGGTAGAAAATACTCAGGGCAATTAAAACAGTATACTGCTGCAACACTAGAAATCCCAGGGTCTGATATTAAAGCAACTGGAACTCGATACAAAACGAAACAGCCTGTCCCCCATCTTCACCTCGACAAATGAAGGCCACCTTTTCTGTAGTAAGAAACCTAAGTTCCCTGTCAGATCCCCTGAGGTAGTAAAGTGGGAAGCTTAGTGAATCTTCGTCTTTCATTTTATTTCAGACTGCAAAAGTGGAGTTTCAAGAGATAAGCATTTATGAATCTGCTTTAAATGTACACAGGCATACCCTTCAAACTGGCTACTGTGCAGTAACAGAAAATGAATTTTAAACCAGCAATGAACACGAGTCGGAAAAGAGATGTACGCTTTCCAGTGAGAACACACATGTTGTTATGCCTCTCCTTGCTCACAACCAAGTGTCTGATGCTCACTGCATAGCGTTAGAAAAGTTGACACAATAGGAGAAAATTGCAATGTTGAAATATGAGGAGTTTAAAGGCAATCCTTTAGGAGCAGCTTCAGATCATCACATTGCAAAAGATGCCATATGATGAGGCAGCATGACTGCCTACCAGCCTTCCATTTTGTCCATAGCTGCATGTTCTTGATAGATTTACTCCTACCTACCCACACTGAGAGTTCATGGTCCACTGCAAGCTTTTGGTCTTCCATCTTCCTGAACACAGCTGGTAATATTGCTATCCATTCAGTAAGTAGACTACCACTTCATACGTAGACATCATTATAGCTGTGTTTGGAATCTGTCTAATCAGATGCGTTGTTAGGCCACGGTATAGGGCGTTATAGCCTTCTTCTCGCACAAGCAAAGACAGTGTCTGGAAAAAAGACCTGTACTTTGTTCCTTCTTCCCGTAGTCTTGTTCGTACAACCTCTGCATCAAAAAAGGAGAAAACATTTTATCTTGAGGACAGCTTTCCACAATCTTGGAAAGATTACAACGCTTGCCTACTTCTACAATGCATTACTTATTTCATCTGTTGTAGGACCCTCGTACCCACGGGACCGCCTCTCCTGGTATGCCCCACGGAGGACCTTAAGGTCCATAAGGTCAACACCCTAGAGGTCCCGGGCCCTAAGGAAGTTAGATTATCCTCAACCAGAGCCAGGGCCTTTTCAACACTGGCTCCGGCCTGGTGGAACGCTCTGTCTCATGAGACCAGGGCCCTGCAGGATCTGATTTCTTTCCGCAGGGCCTGTAAGACAGAGTTGTTCCGCATGGCCTTTGGCTTAGAATCAGTTTGATTCCCTCCCCCTCTTTCTTTTTTCCTTTCTCCTCCAGTGAAGAGGCTGCATCTTAATGTTTTAATGTTGTATTTTAATCTTGTTTTTAAATGTTATTTTAATCAACTTGTTTTTATAATTGGTTGTTAGCCGCCCTGAGCCCGGTCTTGGCTGGGGAGGGCGGGGTAAATAAAATTTACTATTATTTTTTATTATTATTAGCCAAAACAGTACTCAAAAACAACATATGAGACAACTTGTGCACAGTTCTCAAAGGCAAAATGTGATGAATGTATTGAAAGTAACTTATCTCTTGGACTGGGGAAAAAAAAATTTGGTTGCTGATTTGCTTAACAAAAGCCTCCCTTACCGTGTGGATAGGCTATGGATGTAGCACAAGTTTTCGAAGTAGCTGCAGCCATCATCATGCCAACAAAGTCAGATGCTTCTTTGACAGTTTCATCTTCCTCATCCATAGCAGAAGCAGACTTATACTCCAAAAGTCTTCGCTTAATACTCTCATAAATAACAAAGTGAATAACAGTTTCTGATATGCCTGCATAGCTCGCAGACATTCCTCGGTAAAAGCCTTTAATTCCATCTGTCTGATAAACCCTGCGCACACATTCAAAAGCGCTCATCCGTTTTTCTCCACGATTCCTGAAAGAGGGGGGAGAAATTCAACACTCAGAAGAGCTTTATTATATTTTGCCAGATGCAGACACCACTCACCATATCTGTAAAGTTTCCCATTTCATTATTTAATTTCATGAGTCTACTTGCAAGCTACAGAAAACATACACCTTTATTATGAACACTGAAATGATATCTAAAACTAACCCAGATCTACTGAAACAGTTTTCAGGTTATACTGATTCAGATGTTACAGAAATCATAAGAGGTACTGATGATACCTCACACCCAGCAACTTCATAAAGATATCAAATAGCATTGGGGACAATATTTACATTTTTTTTAAGAGTTCAATACCTTGCATCAAGTTGTAATCGTGTCTTTATTAGCCAAATTGGATTGGTTGCGGTGATTGCAGTGAAACCTAAATAAATATTAAAAAAGAAAGATTAGTTTTGCAAACATAATGAAAAACAGCAAAGCTAAAACATGAATAAAGATACAAGTTGATACAAACTGACCTGTGCTATGCTAATAGTTAAAAACCAAAAGTAGGCATCTTGACATTTTATTGTTTTTTTCCAGTCCACGTAGCCAATATTTGTTTTTGCAAGATTTCAATAAAGTAAAATAAAGCCTCTTTATTCTTCTTAGTAACTAGCCATAAGTACATCTAGAACCCAATTTGTGCCCATTTATTCATACAAATCCCTTTTTGACACCTTTCAAACAGCCAGAGTGAGACTAGGCTAACTGAATTTAAATGCACTCCAAACAAAAGCAAACTGCAGTGAAACTAAAGCATGCCAGAAGAGTCTAAAATGTTCTCTGCAAATTTAATTTATAAAACAAATCAGATCATAAAAACACATTAACTACTTAATGTTGTACAGCTCAGAGACACGTTACTGTACATCAACACAGTATAGTTTATACAGTATAATTTAGCAGGATGTTGTATTAATTGTGCCAGTGAGTTCCACTAGCAGTAAAAGCAAGGATTTTTGGTTGGTCCCAGGAATACTTGTACAAACATACAAAATTTATGTGAAAGGAAAGCAGCTACTCAAAATCTAAACGGTATTAACAGCCAATAGTGTGATTGTTTTGCCACTTGCAAATAATATCTCCTACACTACACTACCATAAAGAATAGAAAAGCAGTACAGGAGGGCAGCTTTTGAGAACTGTACAGTTATAATATAAAATGCATTGCATATCAGGTAAAATGTCTGCAGAAGGGAGGTTGGGAATTTGTTGTGCTCAAAGTACCCAATTTATTACTATTTATTCAACTGGAATGACAAGCAAATCATTCCTCTAACCATGCAAATCCTGCTCTCCTCTTGCAGAAGTGAGTGTTCAGGAGCACCTTGTGCAGTGCATCTCCCATGCACATTTCAAAACAGAATGGAAAAGCCTGCTAGTGAACTACACAAAAAGGAATGTTTGCAAACCAGTTTCCTGCCCCCCCTGAACAATCTCTATTGGTATTCACATGGGGGGGGGGATGTGAATGAAAAGGTTAAAAAAAGAACTGCCAAAGGATCTTAACTGTTTTAAGGTTTAGTTAACATTACAAAACTTTCTCTTACTTCATGTCACAAAAAGCACACTTTAATTACTTGCACAGAAGCAGAACTGGTAATTAATATTGTTTGGCTAAATGGCAATATGCCTAGCTAATGTTAAGCTCCTTTTAATGTTTGCATCCCCCAAGTCATTGTTCTTCCTAAACACAGGCATCATCTTTAGCTTTTAGCCACAGAAATACTGCGTAAGTGCATTAATGGTGGGAGGGGTTTTTTTGTTTCATACGTGTTCAAACAAATCAACAAACCTGGAGAATTGGTTTAGACATTGCCCATGCATACGGGATATAACACAGGACACAAAAGGAACTGTGCCCTAGCTGCCCTAGATTAATCACTATGAAATGGTTTTATGGAGAGTTAACTAAATGGTCTGTCTGCCAGTGATGTTTACTGCCTACAGCACATGCAAACACAGGTCTACTAAGAAGCAAGCTCCACTGAGTACAAGGCGGCTAACTTCCAGGTAAGTGTGTAAAGGTCTGTAGCCTTAATGTATTTCTAATTGGTAATCTAAAGGGGAATAGAGGCAGAGAAGAGACTGGGTACAACATTCCATGAACCCAACTTCAAGTCCTGGGTATAAATGCAAGCAAACATGCTTATACTTAGCATCTTTGGAACCTATACAAGCCCAAAAAGGAAGAGAATCAAGACACTGCATATGTTGGACAATGTTTATGTCCCTTGTTCCATCTGAGGAAATAACAAAGTACTTAATGCAACTCAGAAGAGCATTTAGCACTGGGCAGATTGTGCCCCGTTTTTACTTTTAAGACTTAAGCAATGTTCAGCTTTATATAATCCCAAATTTAAAAGCACTAAGGTGCTTGGACACAAAAAACTGCTGGAAGGTAAGTTCACAAATACAAATGCACATGCTACAAAAGAGGGATTACTCTTTTGGCAGTTGTTGAATCAATCCATCAGATCACGTTTAAAACTTGGCTAAATTTTAAAAGGTATTATGAGGGTTCAAATGCTGCTCATAGGAATGTCTCATACCAAAATGCATTTGAACAGTGACTACATATGACTTCAGCTTTGATCCAGCTGCATATCTATAGGGCTGGATCCAAATTTTCCATGATCAGAGGAAAGTGAAGAGATTTTTTTTTGCCAATTCCTTCTTTTCCCTGAACATCTGCTCCAGAGGGTAGGAGACTACCAGAACAGCATGGGAGTAGTGCTAGGGGGTGGGGAATCAGCAAAAATGACCTTTTCTAACTCTCCATCCTCCAGTAGGAGCCTCCATTGGATCAGAGTCCCTTATGTGAATGGAAGAAGCCCTTTAGTTTGTGTAAACGCATAATGTTTTAGTTAATTATTATCTTTAAATACTGGAATTCAATGCAAAATATTTAAGGCCATTTATATGGCTCCATTAAAACAAAATGAAACAAAACAAGAAGTTGCTCAGTGCAATCCTATGTATATATTTATATTTTACTCAGAAGTCCTAGTATGCAATGGGAATTATAGGCCTTATTTCAGTTTGCTGTTTATTTCTAAAAGCAAGTCATGTGAACCTCTAACCAAAGAAGGAGCGCTCTTTCTCTCTCTCTCTCTCTCTCTCTCTCTCTCTCTCTCTCAAGATTTTTGGAGCAAAACAAGCTTAAAAATAAAACAGCTAAGATCCCAGGTATGCATCTGCATTGTCTTTGTTTGCAAGGGATAATGTATTGATAAATGCATGTGAATACATATTATGCCAACACAATTTAAATAGAAAGGAAAGAGTGTGGTGACACATACAGTTAACTGTACTATTATTTAAGGGCAGTTCTGAAATACTTTGCCTAAATAAAATAGAAATATATAAATTAAAGGTAGGAATCCTACGGATTGTCAATAAGGAATGTAATTTCACCAACTTGGCTAAACACGCAACAGTAGTCCATAAAACTGTTTTTCCACCTTTCCCCAGGCTGCACTGGAAGGAATAGCTGGGTGATGTATTAAAACAATGTATACAACTGGAATTCAAATAAAAATATTCCCCTTACATTGTTTGTTTAAGAGTGGTTACAAACCCAAGGTGTGGTTCTTACGCTAGAGGCTGCAAGAGACGCTCAGTTCAGTACTCACGAGGTTTAAGTTAGTCCATATTTCTGCAGGAAGTGACCTGCGGATGGGGAGCATGAGATGACACGATCTCACTCTTTTCACGGGAGAAATGTACAGTAAATGCCTAAAATAGACACAGGCTTTTCTGTATCATAACAACAAGCAGTGACCTCATCAGACATATGTGACAAAACTGAATCCCAATGGAAGGATTTGTGAATTAGTAAATGTGAGATCTAACTTTTTAAAAAAGTTTAGAACAATAAAAAAAGGAAAAAAGGTAGTACAGGCCACAGGTATTTTTTAAAAAAAGTTTTGCAAAATGCACTGAGTACTGAAATTTCTGCCATCTGCAGCAGTTTAACCATTTAATAGCTTGCAAAATACTTACCTATACTTATTTTTAAAAGCCCAAAGTGCTGGGTGTGTATGTGCGCATGTCAAATAAAAATGCTAACCTTGTCACAATGGGCAGAAAAAACAAGCCTTAATGTCAGGTTGAAACCAGTTTAATTTAAAATTTGAGACATGCCTGAACTGAATAGCTTGTACCTATTTTACAAATGTTTGAAGTTATAGATTAAGCTAATTTTGAGTCTTTGGGAAGTATAAAGCAAAGGGAAGACAGACAAAATTAGAACAGATCATATAATTCAATTAAGCCATTATCTTCCCTCTTTGGCTCAAAATGGGCTATAATGGAAAGCCGGACTAAGCGTAACTTGACAAAAGATCTTCCATACAACTTTTTAAACTTTGTCTATGAGTTGGTTCTATGAAAACAGCAAATGACTTAATAGTAAAGGCCCTGAAGTTATCAAAGATTACAGAGCATGTTGTAGCTGATGGAATAGGAATGCTCCTTAGAACACAACAGCTTCCAACTGTTCCATCAAACAGTTGGGTGTATAGTGTCAACAAAATCACAAAAGAAAGTGTCACTGCTCTTTAACCCAAAGTAGCATTGCTCTCCATTACGTGAGAAACTCTGAAATTCACAATGCACTACCTCACCGCAACACCACCTCAAAGGACAAGGTAGAATGAAATGCCCAGCTTCCATACGTTCAAGAGGGTATATTATACTAAACTGAATCATGTAATTCTGTGTCATGGACTGGCTGGACACAGTGGAATGGTGGGAGGCACCAGGAAGAAGGCATCTCAGAGCCCAGGTGGGACGATGATGAGTGGTCAGAGGGAGAAGAGAGTGAAGACTTGGAGAAGGTGCTGCTGGAAGCTGAAGAGGTAACAGGGTTTAGTGAGCAGGAAGTCTAGCAGAGAGAAGTCCAGAATCTGAAGCAGGAGCAGATGGAGACCAAGGGACAGAGATGAGTTAGACTGGTGAAGAAGCCAGGGTGTCTCCCCTCCTGCTGTGACAAGCTCCCTTCCCCCTGGTCTCACAGGACCCAAAGTGGTATGAAGAGGGAAGAGCAGAGACAGACATGTTGGTGGAGTCTCAGATTGCTTGGGAAGGACTCGTGAAAGGAGGAGACTTAACCAGCTACGGAAAGGTGGGGATCTTCAGTCCCCACAACTGCCTCATAGGGACAAGATCTACCAGGAAGAGTTGCTGTGCTAATTAGACCTGGCTCCTCTGAGCAGGCTTTGTTTCTGCTAATAGTTAACTTCACGTACTCCTTGTGATTTATTGCTGGCTGGCTTCCTGACATTCTGTATGCACACTGGAGTGTATGCAAGGTTTTAGACTGAGATGATAGACTCATTTTGGAACTAGCTTTTTTTGTAACTGAGGCAACAAAATATCTTTGAGGAGTTCTGTTAATTTCCCTGTACAAGTATAGTTTGCAAAGGGGAAAAAATCCAATTAGGCTTTCTTTACATTCTTAGACTACAGTTTATTTTTGCTATTTCTATTCAGCAAAGCAAATGGAGCTTAAAAAATAAGGCATTTTGTTGACTGAACTCATTAGGCAACATATTGAGGGTGGAATGGGAGCATGATGGCAGTCTGGCTGGCTAAGGGTCCCCTGGGTTCTGCAGCAATTCTATCGCTGAATACAAGTGGCCCTGTATACTTGTCTAACTTAACCCCGAATACATTCCAGAATGAAGGATGATAAGCAACTCCAATAAGGATTGTGAAAAAATGTCTGACAAAAATGCTTCTCCTTCGTTAGACAGTAAAAGTACAATAAAGACTAGGTACAGAATAGCATGAATTTTAAACATTTCAGACTTTGAAAGATTGTTGTTTTTTAGAAATTTAAAAAGGAATACTGTCTACAAGGTTTCAAATAAAAGCTAATTTATAAAATAGTTCACAACCGAAACAGAGTATAGCAATATTTTGAGTGTGTAGTTTTGAGACTGTTTTGGTGTCAAGTGACTCAAATCAAATGGTATATATATTTACAATTGCTAGTGATATGAAAGCAATAAAAACATCTATAAACAAGGTTTCAATAAAATATATTTTTTTGAGAAGCTAAGACAGAAAAAAGCCTCATACTTCTTAATTGTTCAAGCAACTTTGAATTTTAAGCCAAAACAGACTTTGTGGGTACAATTGTTAATAGCATAATGTAGTGCATTCAATGAAAGTTTTAAGAAGCAATTAGAAAAGTGACAAGGTTAGCATTTTTTCTCACAAGCTATGTTAACGGCCCTTTATATTAGTTATATGGCTACACAGCCAACACTATGAATCAGTATTTTATGCATCTTTAGCGGAGGTTTTAAAATGGAGTCTATGGGATTTCTAGCATCCTAAAGCTATGCTAGTTCAAGAGGAAAAAAATAGCTACCTTCCAAGCCAATCTGCATGGGACATTCTTTCACCAACCATGTGGTTTAGGTGCATAACTGCAAAGCTGAACGTTAATGCTCCGTCAGTATTGCATGAGCACAAGAGCAAAATAATTTCAAGTGGTAAGATCAAAGCCACAGAAGTGCAAAAGAGGCAGCTTCGCATTTTAAAAGCAGAATAAAATATGTACAGGTCTTGAAATGACAAACAGAAAAATCTAAGTGTCTCAAGAGATTCAAAATTTAAGTTTCGTAAACCCAGGGTTTAAATAGCAAAAATTCAAATACCAATACAGAAATTATTACTGGACATGTATGTAGATATGAAACCTGCCAACAAATCAGATTTTCACATTTATTTAACTGGGCAAAGATGCACATCTCTTACGAAAAACAGATAAGGAACCTTTAAGTTAGTTCTGAATAACCTTTTGTGTGCAATATACATTGCATAAACTAAAAAATAATCTTAAGATTACTAATCCATTTTCTTATCTTCTGCTCTGCTCTTTTGTCAAGAGAAATAACATTTCTTTAGAAATTTCTCTGGAGGAAAAAAAAACACAGGTAACAGAATAGTCTTTCATATTAACAAAGCCTCTGAAGCAATTAATTGAGGTGCAGTTTCAAAAGAATAGCCATTCACACAGTTATCCCTCTCCCACCAAACCCATTTCATTCCCCATGGATTCCTTTTGTGGAGTGTAAAAAGAGATAAACTATATTAGAAGTACAGTTCTAAGCATGCCAGACAATTATCTTAAGAACACAGTTTTCTTTTCTATTCATTTCTTAGATCTAACATTTTTAAGTTTTAAAAAAAGAACATTTGGGCCACAGTGCCCAGTTGGGGAGAAACCCTATGCTACAGGGTTGGTTAAATTATTGGGCTATTATAATTTTCTTTCGTCAGATCTATTTGTGAGCCACTCTAAAAATGTCTAAAAATATCTGTATGCTATATAGAGAAGATTCACAGCAGAAGCTATCATATTCCCTGCAAGTGTCATAGAGTATTAAGAACCATTATGTCCCACTTTAGCCCCATTCTTCTCTTTTGAAGAAACAGAAATAAAAAACTCTACAAAACACGTCATGGCTGTTATGCTGGAGGAAGTACACAAAAAGAATCTACATTTAAGCCATGAACCGAAACATTCAGTAAATCCCCCTGGTTCAGGTGGGGCTACTCTTGAGGGAAAGGGTACAGCATTGCACCCACAGGCTGTAAAACCATGCACAATGACTCTGGAGTAAAGTTCATGAAGTCAGCAGTACTGCAAAGAATTGTGCTGGATTGCATTTTTATTTCCCTCTTTCCCCAAGAGGCTTATTCACCTCCAAAACAGGAAAAACATATTTACTGGCTTTCTATCACCTTATCAAAAGAGGGGACAGGACCAGATTACCTAATACTGCAGCAAATTTCAAATATTTCAAGCATAGGTGACCAAAATCTGTTGGTATATTATTACAGAAAGTCAGAGCAGTTGTCTTAACACAGGAAGGAGTTTCAAAATAAAATGAAGGGGCAAGGAGAAGTCTCATTGCTGGCTTCTTTAGTTCCTATAAAATTTGCTTAGCAAATTTGAAATTAAGTCCACATGACTTAGCTATCTGGAATGACAGCAAGCAAGTCTGTTCATATACCATAAATTCTCTATTCATTCTCAAGCCATAAATTTTCATACGTAGCATTTAAGACCAGAAGATAGTCTGCCCAGCCATTCTGCCACTATACCCCGAACCAACCATTTCCTGTATTTCCACAGTTCCCCATTCACCATAGCCACTCTAACACTAAAAGGCTTTCCACATAATTAAAGCAGAAAGTTACAGATCCTTACCTGCTACTCCAGCTGAGGTCATGTGTACCTTGGTAGATTCTGGCTCAAATATATTATTCAGCATTTCCTTGCAATTGGAGTATGCAGCAAAATATATTGCTCTGAAAGGAAAACAAGTTAAATATGATTGATACAATATAGCTTCGTAGTAAAACTAGTAACAGTGATGATAGTTGAATGGAAGTGCATGCCAAGCAGATAGGTCTCTTTCTCCATTGAAATATAAATGTACCACTGAAAGCAATAAAAGGAAGCAGTGCTAGTTCTTTCAGATGTTCTGCAGAAAGACCCCACCACAGATCCCCACCACACTCTGAACTTCCAATTCCTCTTAAATCTGCATCATATGAATTACTAGAACCTGTGCTAAGGGGTGGGTGGGGTGGAAACAATACAGTGGTGCCTCGCAAGACGAAATTAATTCGTTCCGCGAGTTTTTTCGTCTTGCGAGACACGGTTTCGGAAAAGTTTTGGAAAAGCTTCAAAAATCACCAAAGTCTTCAAAAACCTCAAAAAAGGCTACCACACCGCGTGCTATGAGTTGCTCCTCGAAGTCAAGTTGCAACTGTATTAACGGTTTTAAGAAAAAGGAAACAAACTTGCAAGACGTTTCCGTCTTGCGAAGCAAGCCCATAGGGAAAATCGTCTTGCGAAGCAACTCAAAAAACCAAAACCCCTTTCGTCTTGCGAGTTTTCCGTCTTGCGAGGCATTCGTCTTGCGAGGTACCACTGTACACCATTTAGAATAGTACAAGACAATGACCACCTTCCCTCAGACCTAAAAAGTTCTGACTTACAAAATGACTAGGTCTGAAGTGTGACAAGTTGGTATGTTCACCCTCTGTTGGATCCTTCAAGAGCACCAAGCAAGGGCAATACAGTGGTACCTCTGGTTATGAACTTAATTCGTTCCAGAGGTCCGTTCTTAAGCTGAAACCGCTCTTATCTTGAGGCACGCTTTCGCTAATGGGGCCTCCCGCTGCGCACGATTTCTGTTCACAACCAGGAGCAGCTACTTCTGGGTTAGCGGGGCTCGTAACCTGAAGCGTTCGTAACCAGAGGCACCACTGTACTGCCATACAGTCGTACCTTGGTTCTCAAACGCGTTGGTACTCGTACATTTTGGCTCCCGAACACTGAAAACCCGTAAGTGTCCCATTTTTCAACGTTCTTTGGAAGCTGAATGTCTGACACAGCTTCTGCTTGAGTGCAGGAAGCTCCTGCAGCCAATCGGAAGCCGTGCCTTGGTTTGTGAATGGTTCCAGGAGTCGAACGGACTCCTGGAATGGATTAAGTTCGACAACCAAGGCACCACTGTATTATGAAATAATTTCAATACAGTTTTATATTTACAAAAAAGAAAAGAGATTTAGAAATGCAGACACATTTAAAGCTGCAAAATAGGAAAAAAATATTCTTCTAAACAAAACAATAGACACCCAGAAGGGGGCCTTGCTTACAGCTGCAAGTTAACACAAGCAACAAAATGTTTTGGATGTTCAAAAGCGTTATGAATCACCTACTATCACAGTTTCTCTCTCCACAGTCACTGAAGACAAAGAAAGTTGACCAGGCAACAGCTACATGTAGTAGGAGCACACAGTGTACTTGCTAACACAGCTGGTGAATACAATTTTGTATTTTTATTTTGTGAACCACCCTGTGATCTTCAGATGAAGGCCAGTATACAAATTTATTTAATTAATTAATTGGAACTAAGTAGTAAAAAGTTCTTTAACACTTGAGCTAGGATTTTAAAAAATCCAGCAAGTTTTTAAAAAAGTGGTCCACTTTTTAAAAAAGGGACTTAAAATTGACACAGAGCACACCCAAGCCCTTCCTTTCTCAACCTGTGGGTCCCCAGATGTTGTTGAACTACAACTCCCATCACCCCTAGCTAGCAAGGCCAGAGCTCAGGGATGATGGGAGTTATAGTCCAACAACATCTGGGGACCCACAGGCTGAGAACCGCTGCAAGCCATTTTCTGAAGAAGCTATTTAGATCCAGCACAAAAACTAGTGCTTCACTTCATTTTCATGTTGAGATGTTTTAAAGTGCCTGATAGGCAAATATATATATTTAGTTTTAAATGTTTAAAGCAGATAACAAACTACACTAGTAAATATATATTTGTTGCAAAAAAAAATTTCATATAATCAACTTTTTGCAACATAGATAATCTTGCCACAAGGGGGCAGGAGAGAATTTCCTACAATCTTTATTATATATATTATTTTAACAGGTTTGTTTCAAATTTGTGCTATTCTATATTACCTAAGAAGTCCCTTAAAACATATTTAATGTACAAATAGTAATTAAGCACACACCAAGGAATACTTCTGTAATACTCTAAAATTTAACTGATGTACATTGACTTTTGAATGGTAGTAACATTTTGCATGTTATAACAAAAAAACAAACAAACCACATACAATCAGCAGAGGTTGCTATATGAACAGCCTCTAAGTCTTCATGAAACAGAACATTAAGTTAACATCATTAGCTCCTCAAACATGTGGCCTTTCACAAGGACCTGATAAAGTGGTTGTTTTACGTGATGTAATGAACAAAATGGAATCCATAATCAATGGTGTATGCTATACATGTTAAGAAACAAGCTTATTCAAACAGAGAGAAGCTGTTAAAGCTACTTAGTGGATGTTTAAATGAAACAAAAAAGTATTTGTCCATGGTTGATGACTGGAAAAAGTGTGCTATGTTAATTCATAAGCCTGAGAATACATTAGCAAATGGACAAGCCTAGCATGAAAATTGGGTAAAGTCCACAGCCACATTTTTAGGAGAAAGAGAAACAGGTTAAGTTATTTCCTGAGGCTAATCTGAGACACAAAATACACAAGACTGCCTGCACCTTTCTATGGCTTAAGGAGCTATACACCAAACTATTGCATTAAACTTATTAGAATACTAGTCCCATCTTATGTGATGCACCTTACTTTTGCCCACTTTCCTTGCAAATTAATGCAAGATGGCTTCTACAGAATAATCTCTTATTGACAAGTTTAAAAGGAAAGCATCTGGTGGGTGAGGAAAAATGAACCGTTCGCCTTCAAGCCTCTTCCAGCTCTAAAGCTGCACTCATATTACAGACACAAATGTATGGGCCACAATATTAAAAAAATACTGTGCACAACAGCACCCCCAAATATTTATGAAATAGAAAAGGGCTAGGTAAAAAGAAAAATGCTGTTTCAGCAGAAACTTTTAGTAAGGAGTGGAGGCTGCAATACTAGGATCTATCATCAAGACAGAAATCTATTTCATTTTTATATTGCTGTGGTTTTTATTGTCTGTTATTTTGCACAATAAATGTGATTTATATGAGGCACTAACCAGCCAGAAATTAACTTTGGCTGAATTCCAACCCTAAAGTCAGGGTTTTAATTTTAAGAAGCAAAGAGAATGGCTGTGAAGGAATCAGATACAGCTGTGATTTCTGAATGAGGAGCAAGACAAAAAAAAAGTTTTTACAGTGTTATTTTGTAGACACAATTCCATTAAAACCAGCCATAATGATTTTTTTACACAAGATGCCTGGGACTGCTGTATTAGCCCACTATTGTAATCTACACTTTGTTTTAAGGATATACAAATGGTCCTTCTTCCCTCTGCTTACCAAACAACTACAATTATTTGCCTACGTGGCAACAGCTTAAAGCAGAACAAAAGCAAACAGTATTTAGCATTATGGAAACTTTAAGCAGAGCAATATCAAAAATGGAAATGATACAGTACTGAAAAAGCAATATGTTGCACACAAAGCAAAAAAACTACCTAGAATAATAATATCATGTCTGAATACATCCATGACGCCTAAAGTGCTTCCCAGCAACTGAGTGAGAGTGGGCTGAAAGTTGGACCTGCCAGAATCAAATCTTTATTTCGTACAAAAGGTGACTTGAGTGAATTCAGAGGAAACAGATCACTGCCTCTTAGTGCGCATCCAAAACTGGGCGTGCAGCCACTGTGACTCATGCACAGAACAGCTGTTTCTTGGCATATGCCTCCACCACTTTTGACATTACAATCTAATGATTTTTTTCCATCGCTCATTCCATACATTTATTGTCTTCTACAGAAACAAGGCAACAAATTATCTGCATTAAGTCTATTCTTCTGTTTCACTTGAGTATTTTGTACAGCATAAAAAACAGAGAACCTCTAGGACTTGTTATCGACCTCCAAATGAAATCACATCATTTTCACAGTGTAATCCTAGGCCTGTATTGCTGACTGCTGGGGAGAAGTCGGGGGTAGGATGCCAGCTAGGTGCTGCTCTGCTGGCCTCCACCAGCAGAGGAGAAGAGTGGTGATGGGCTTCACCATGGCAGAGATCACAGCTGCAGCCTAACAGGTGGAAAGCTATCACTGGTGATAGTAAGTGGAAAGCCCTGAAATGGGGAGATTCAGGTGACAAGCACTAGTGGCTTTGGATTCAAATCCCCATGGATCCTCCAATGGACCCAGAACTCAGGTCACTCAGCCATCAGCACAGGCATAGCAGTATGGAAGGAATCACTGCCCTGCACTTCTGGTCAGTGCAAACTCACAGGGCTTTTTTGCAAATTTGATGCACTGGTCCTCCAAGCCCAATGTTAACATTGCTCTGCCAGTCTTTCTTTGGCAAAAATGGTATATACAGTGGTACCTCGGGTTACATACACTTCAGGTTACATACGCTTCAGGTTACAGACTCCGCTAACCCAGAAATAGTACCTTGGGTTAAGAACTTTGCTTCAGGATGAGAACAGAAATCGTGCTCCGGCAGCATGGCAGCAGCAGGAGGCCCCATTAGCTAAAGTGGTGCTTCAGGTTAAGAACAGTTTCAGGTTAAGAACGGACCTCCGGAACAAATTAATTACTTAACCCGAGGTACCACTGTAATAGCCTTTATGCTTTAGGGGGACAACACCACAAAGTTAAAATTGATCATAAAAAAAAATACATTTGAAAACCATGGGGCATGTTTCAACTCAAAAAGCATGCTCATTTTGTGAAAATGTTGTTGGTCCAATAAACACATTGTCTGGAGGCTGGTGGGGAAGGAAATGGCAGGAATCGCCTACCCCAGCAAAATCTGGAGGCAAATCATTCACTAACCCCGCAAAAATGTTGCCCAGTGGCTACAAAAGAAAGAAAAGTATTAGAAGATTTATTTGTGTGATAACATGATTACTTTGAAAACTCTGCACATCTTCTAATCCTAAATAAGCTATGATAACATTTGTTCATTTTACCTGGATGGAGCCACGCCTACCAAATTAGGACCCAATCCCCGGAAAAGTGAGCGAGGGCCTTCCTTCTGTAAAATCATCCTGCAAAAGAAGCACACATGTAATAAAATACATATTTAGGAATACTGAAGTTATATTGAATCAACCAATTTTATTTTGAAGCACTAAACATATACAAACAGGCATATGTATACACTGCACTTTTCTACACCATAGAAACTAAACAAATGTTGGGGGCTCTTTTGTAATTTTGTACATTTTTCTTTTTTTAAACAAGTCCCACACTCATTTGCAGCCCAGCACAACTTCCATGTATTACATCATCCCACCCCTGTCTGACTGGAGATCTTGTCTACAAAGAGTTCTGAACTACTGTAAGCAAGTACTCCCCACCACCACCTTCCATAGTTTTTCCTCCACTCTCACCCCCAGCCACACCATTCACTTCTTTTTTCCTACATTGCATGCTGCATTGCTGCAGCCTCGCTCCTTAAGCAACAACCATTCCTGTGCATGCACTGTGCATGCAGAGAGCAGCTGCTGTTAACATCTGTCCACAGGATACTGTGGTCTTGAGGCCCACTGGTGGCCCTGGTCCACAGTTTGAGAATGCTGACTTAACTGTTCTTGAGTCTACCCTACAATTACTCGCATGCAGGGAACCAGGGCTAAAACTGCAACACATAATGTCACTGCTGATTTTAATGTGTTTTTATGATTGAATGGTCCTGGTGATTTTATTCTTGCACAATTGTTTAATTTTGTGTTGTTGGCTGCCCTGTGCTAGAGGAAAGGTGGGATACAAGAATAATTTAAACTTGCAGTTGCTGAGAGCTGGGGCAGCTGCAACTGTTCTTGGATGACACATATTAGTTAGACATGTTCTAGTCTGGGCTCAGGCCTCGCCATTGGAATTAGTCTCCCCTGGCTTCCCTGAGGCATGACCTTTTTACAGAGAACAGGACAAGCTTCTGCTTTTTATGAATATTTTTTGATTATTTTTAATACCTGTTTTTAACTATTATTATTACTGCAAACTACTTGGAGGATTTTTTTTAATTAAAAAAAAATCAAGCAGTACAGGCACACCCACCCACACACCATCGTTTAGTTCACACGTAGCCTCAGAAAGCCAGAAGTGGGGGGAGAGACCTGATGAGCCTTAGCAAAGCCCCATTGCTTTGCTAGCTGGCAAGCAGACCCTCCCCAGTCTGAAGTGGGCATCCTCTTTAGGCTCTAGGGAGTGTCTCCTGGTAAGTCAGAGGGACAGCAGGGCTTCCTTAACCAACTCAAATGATGTGTGGGGAATCTTCTGTGTGCAACAGCAGAGCTTTGTTGAGCTGACAGGCAGCTCCTCATTTCACGCAATTTCACTGATGCATGCGAGGGTTCAGAACATAACCTCCGTGTAAACGGGAAGTCGCCTATAAATTTTGTTAAATAAAAACTAAAAACTGGCCACATCAAAAAGTGCCTTTAAAGAGAAATCACATTTCCTAAGAAGTCAGCACAGAATTTGTTTACAGCTGGATGAGAAGAGTTACATGATACAGGTATCAGGGAACAAGACACAGCACTTAACATTTGGGTATTTAAATTATAACCCTTAAAATATAGTGCTCCAAGGGCACTAGGAATTCAGGATGAATTCAGGTAACTTTAGGTTCAAAGCCAAACTTGTTATCTAATCAGCATGTTGCAATATGCACCATATTATGCTTATCAATACAGATAAAGTGTCCAATAATGTCAAATTTTCTTTAAAGCACTTCTTGTTCAAACAGAAATACAGGTTAATGACATAAAACACTAAGCAATCTACAAACAATGTTGCAAGAGACATTCACTTGGAACTGTTTGAACTGATCCAAGTACCTACATTCATTTCAACACAGTGGTTTAAAGATTCAGTTTATTTATGCAGGCTGCACTAGAATAAAAATCTCGTTCTGCCTCATTCTTCTGCAAGATCAGAAGTCAGGTTTGAAGCATGTAGTTTTAAAAAGGATTTGCTTGTAAATTACACTGTGCCATTTGTAATCACCACTGAGAGGTCTGAGGTATGTTGCACAGCTGGATTCCTGAATGCCAATGCATCTAAGATTCATTATGTAAGGCATGATTTTGCAATCTTAACTATGGAGTATGTCACTGCACAACAGCAACAACAAACAGTACAGCAAGCAATACATGAAAGATACTGCAGGAATTGTAGTTAATTTCATTGTCATGTTTAAAGCCATTTCTTAATCTTAAAAGACAAACTTTCATTCAGGTTGAAATTGTCAAGCATGCCACCATTAAGTATCCCACAGGGTGCAGATCCTGATTCTACAACTAAGACCCCATGAGGAATACAGCAGCCTTCCAGGCACTTTAGTTGCCACTCCTTAACATTGCTCAGTCCCATAAGCACAAATAATTATTCAAGTGAGTGAAGTATGAAAGGCTCAGTATCCCACAGTTGCTTATGCTTTAGAAAACTTTAGAAAAGGCAGCACAATTGAAGACAACCCATCAGCCCATTCTCAGCACAGGAGGCTGGCTGGAGTTTGTCATCCTTGTTAGACACCGGAGGATGCTTAGGACATCATACATTTCTGGATCCCTCTTCTTACTATGACATTGTAAGGCAGGTCATTATTACCTATCCATGTTGTAGATGTGATGAGGTGGCTGGGGCTGAAAAGACAGAATGCCCAAAGTAGGGCTTCCTAGTTCAACACAACTATTAGCTAAAAACAAATCTGTAAAAGCAACTACTTTGTACAAGTCGCTTACTGTCTGAGAAATGCTGATGAAAATACATTTTAATCTACTTCTTCTTTATGGGTTTTCTGCCAAATGATTTCTCTGCGCTTTTCTATCAGAACCGTTTTGTCCTTTGGACTCAGATCTAAATTTCTAATCCTACTTACATAAGCACTACATAAACTGTTCACAGTTCATATTGAAAGATGCCCGAATCATTCCATGTTATAGATCCTACAACTGCAAGCTGCAAAGAAAACTCAAGAACACAACGCTGTATTCTCAAAAATTAATAAACATATTATTTCAAAAATAGCAACACTTGGGTTCTTCATGCAGTGGTTGTTCATAGTCGCACCTTAACTCAAATCAACAGCAATCTTTCATCTGTCTGATAGCCAGACCACTTTGTTTGCAGCCTATATAACAGACTTTTCCACCTGATGCCCTCCAGACATTTTAGACAACACCTGCCTAATAAGTTACAGCCCCAAACATATACAGGGCACCAAGCTAGGAAAGGGTGGAATAAAATAATTGCCCCGCCAAGGAGGGAGGGACACAGCACGGTCCCCACCACTATGACACTAGCTTTGCAATGGAATAGCTTGTTATGCAAATGCTAAATTGTGGAATTCCTTCCCCACAGGTGCTGGCACCTTTAATGTACATTAAAGATGCCAGATGCTCACCTATGGGGAAGGAATTCCACAACTTAGGGGCTGTCACAGAAAATGCCTTCTCCTGGATTACTCCTTCCCTCATGCTCTGAGGGTGATGGAACTACCAAGAGGTAGTCTTAAACACCCAAGAATGTATGTAGGAAGGAGGCAGTTATGCTATGCTCTAAACTGGACTGATGGCCAAACAGCTGTCACACTGAAGAGATAGAATTATAATTCCAAAATATTGTTACAGAACTCTTTCTAGAGAACAATTGTATCTCAAGACAGGAAGCCAAAATGCAAAGGATTGTGCAGCAGGCCATTATTATTATTATTCATTTCAAGGACTTAAGTTTCCTCCAAGAAATATAAATTTGCTAGAGCCAGAAGACAACCATTTCCCCCCAAAACAAATATTTAACCTTCAAAAGAGTGAATGAAATAGAGATTAATAGTTAACACTAACATCCAGAGACTCCAGGGTATCCAGTATGAATTACTGTCAACAATCAGATATCAGTGCAAGAAAAATTGGAGAAGGCAAGACCCCGTTTATCCATGACAAGTATATCAGAGCACAGTAATCAGACACTTTTGTTTTTGGTAGCCATTAAAGATGGATCAAAATGGTGGGTTTCAGCTGGCAGGGCACATTCTTGTCTCCAAATAGGATTGCACCTTGTCTTAAGTATGGGAGGTTGTGCACAAACCGTGACCTGGAGCTTACTTTCTAAAACCTGAAAACTCAAGCACAGAAGCAAAGAAGGTGCCATAAAGATAACAGAAGAAAAGTCATTTATTGTTCGTTTATGATGTACCAATGACCCATGACAGGAATTTGTGGCACGCCCACCCTAGTAAGATGTGTCTGTCTCCCTCATTATTGGCTTTCAAGAGAAATTTAAAAACATTCCTGTTTACTTAGGCATGTGATGGCTGAAAGACATTGTTCTTGGCAACCCTGAGATAACTGATTGAGAGTGTTTTAAACTGCTTTTTAGAATGTTTTAAAATTGTTTTTTTGTATTTAAAAAATATATTTTGTGACTGCTGTGTCTGCTGCTCTGGGCTCCTTCCTCTGGGAAGGGTGGGATATAAAGCAAATAAATAAAGTAATGAACATAAGATACTGTGTACTCTGGTTTACCATACTCTGGTTTACCATATAACCGAAGATAGTCACATTTTTACAGTAATATAAAAATCCTGCAGAACCTCACATTGCAGGTCAAAGGAGTAAGGGATAAGCCAAAGAAGACTACCTACAGCAGATGAAGTGCATCTCCAGCATGTCTTATTTGAATTTTTCTTTTTATAATTTTCTCTTTTCAAGGGGCATAAGGGTATATAGCAAAAGGGCACCTTTTAGCAGACTTAAAAACAGGAAAACTCAAGGAGGGTTGGTACTCACTTTAAGCAATGGAGAGGCCCTGGGGAAACTCTAGTTACACGATTAACACTGGCACCATTCACAGTATTCAGCTGAACTTCAGAGATGTAGAGTGTAACAGAGGAAGACTGCAGCCGTGTTTTCACAACTTCTAGTGGACATGTCAGAATCGCACCTACGGTGCCCCCACATCTGCAAAGAAGAAGAAAATAGTAGGAATCAAGGAATATGGAATGTCTACAATCAAGCAATTTTACAAGATGGTATAAGATAGCCAGGAACCATGGCAAGACTCTTGGCAGAGGAATACTTCCTTCCAAAAGTAGCAAAGCTTTGATGCAGTATTGCCCTTGTGTTATGCTCTCTGTAGGCAGTGCATGCATGTACGACATTTAACAGAGACATGCACTTCCTGTAAGAAATCCTCAGCAAATTGTTTAATATGAATTTCAGTATTGCTTTCGTACTGAAACAACTAAAGATTGCAACTCATTCTTTTTTTAAAAGTTCTTTGTTGACAGCTCCTTTCATAAGCATTCAGTACTTAATTTCTATCATTAGTTTAATCTTGTAAATATGGCTGAATAGCTAAGGCTTCTAATATTCGTTATCAGATCTAACTCAAGTTGAAGTTGATTGCATTCTCTCAATCTTCTTTTAAGTTACCCAAGGTATACAGTTAGACTTTCTAGTTCAGTTGTTTAAAATTACATCATACAATATTCCAGTGTTTTCCTATATGATTTTGCATGCAATACTGTGCTATATTAGCAGAATTACGATAGTGTTAGGGAGGGGTAGAGAGAGACTTTTGAATGCTGGTGAGGAGTGATGTTTGGATGAACATTTGAAAGGGGTTTTCAATGTTGGGGGTATGACACTTGAGAGTCAGTGGAGTGGAGAGTGGAGCTGAGAAAGGGTGTGAAAGTTGGTGGAGGATGGGAAGCATGGTTTGTTAGTCAAGAACTATAGGGAAACATTATAATAGCAATTGATGTCACTGTAATAAGATAACAATTAATAATAAGATGTTATTACATCTGTAATAAGATAACAATTAAAATCATATGCCTCAAATAATCATATAACCTTTGTTTATTATTTCTCTTTAACAAATCAATTGTCATTACACTGCATGTCTCTTTCTTGGCTCTCTGAAAAGTGAAGTCTTTAGATAAATAGTACCTATGGTGGCAGCAGAAATAAAGAAGAATGAGTGAAATACCCATCAAAAAACCCCTCAGCTCATAGCTGTACATCTTATTAAGAATGAAAAAGTGGTACAGGGCTGAGTGGGGAGTGCCAGAGCATCTCAGAGAAGGAGGGGTGGAGGCTACAACACATGAATGCAGAAAATTGCCTGCTGTGTAAATGTTTAGTTTCTTGGACTAGTTATTCTAGTAACAAACTACTGTAACTTGGCATATGTTCAAATACACCACAGCAGCACATGAAAAACTGCCAGAAAATAAGCAAAAATAGAAAGTCAACAAAGCACAGTGGACATATTCAAATATTGTGCTACAAAAATAAAATGTGCACCTTAATTTGAGGCATGCTCAATGCTATTCTTAAAATTTAGAAAGCTCTAATCCTTGAGGCCTTTGGTGCTGAAAGGGCCAACCAAATTGAAACTATAGGCTTCTCTGTTTTTCACTTGCCACCTTCCATCATGGTGAATGCTCTATAGCTCGCTGGCAAGCAACCACTGTCCCTCCCAAGCATGAAGCTGCAAAGATGGATGGGAATCACCCCAAGAGCTGTGCCTGCTGCTTCCCCCAGCTTAAGTATCAGAGGAAGTCTAGAAGTTATTTGGCAAATGTGTGGCCAAGGATCCTGCTCTCTGACTACAGCTTGGTGAGGTCACTACAGGCACCTCTGCCAAGCAGTGGTCAAAGCTGCCATACTTTCTCTGCTCCCTGCCCCTTTTTCCTGAAAGAAAGGGGGACTAGCTCCCTTGATAAAGGCAATCTAAATTAAGCTGGTAGAGAAGGCGGGGAAACAACCTGGTGACCACAATTTTTGGCTTGGATATTGAGCCTAGGCAAAAACTGTGGTCCCCTAATGGTTGCAGAATGCTATCAGTCAAATGCTCTTTGCTGCTCAAGTGTCCTTCAAATTGGAATCTGCCTCCTCATGAAAACCAAGTAGATTAAATTTCTGCATTTTTAAAGAGATAACACTTGCTTGTGAGCAGCACAGGAGCACTAGGCTTTTGTCATTAGGTCTGTCATTAGGTCTACAGGCGAACACTCAAGCATAATTAATTGAGGCATAAAGACAACAATAAACTCTCATCTAGATTACGTTTCATGCCAATGACCTAGATGTATCACTTTACCAACCCTTTCAACTATCTTGTCTTTGCACCAACACCAAAGTAGCATCAAGTAAGCTTCCAAGTTTATAAATAGAAATGAATTACAATGTGCATTTTCAACTTCATTCATGTGATTTACCCTCTGGTGAAGAGACATTCTCTCAATGACAGCAAATGATACCATGTCATGCAGCATTTTAACATTATTTTACTAGTTCTGACTATGAGATGCTTTTATGAACAACTACTTGTGTGATCTATGCAGAATAATGTTTCAGAATTGCCTTTGAACCCCGCCTGGGACCTATTTTTACCCTCCATTTATAATCCTGTTTTGTTACATTAAATTTCCCCCAAATGATCAAAATTATAGGCTGCTTGCTTAGATAAAACTTCACACTTGAATGCCACTTTAGGCATGAACAAGCGTAAGGAAGCATTGGGCTCTCATGCTTCCTCCTCCCCAGTGTGATTGGAAGGAGGAATCTGGAAGCTTTCATTCCTCTTGCCAGTCAAACTAGGGAAGATGAAGGGAAGGGGGGACACAAGCCAGAGATTTAACTATGCTTGCTGATGTTACACTAGTTTAGTGTGACATCCTAATGTGGCTGTTCCATACTTAAAGAAGTGAGAATCTAGAACAATGTAAAACACTGTAGCCAAAGTGGGAAACATTGGACTAGGTAGTCAAATAGGTTAATCTGGTTTAACGACAGCTTCTGATGCCGTTCTCTGGTGGTACAGCCTCATGAATGGACCATATCAGAAGAACTGAAGCTGCTAGTTTCAACAACACAGAATGCACTGCTTTCTGTCTGAGCTACAAGGAACTAGAATCATTTGGTACAAAGAACTAAACACATTTTACACATATATACGTATGTTTACTGCCCAGCAGTTCGTACTTCAGGTACATGTTTTTCTAAAATGAAGTTTCCCAAAATAAGATCTGCACACAAAAACTGAAAGCATTCAACAGAGCTCTTAAAGAAAACAAATGTTATTTCTGTACAAATTAGTCAGACAGCCAGGTGCCTAAAATGGGACTAAAGTGTCTACTCTTAACAGAACATGGGGGACTTTGTATTGAAAGATTCTTTTTTCCCTACCTGGACTGTTTATTTACCAAGCTTGTTACCAGAAATATAGCAAAGGAAGCAACAAGTGATTTGTCTGCATCAACCTGGAAGGTCATTAAGACAAACAGGTACCAGCAGTACTGCAAACAAAATCTATACGTATACAGCCACAAATACTTTTTATTATAGGTTGGACTCTTAATAAGCAGTCAGCTTAAAAAGTTCAATAGCTCCTATTTTCTGTTATCACATAGCATTAAGCTATTTTAACTGCATTAGCAGAGCATTATCTCTACAACATGAAGTGTTTATAATATTATTTGGGTTTGACTTAGCTCAGTGACCAGCACAGATAAATATATGAACTGTGCTAGCTGAACAGCTAAAGTACCTGAGCAATACCAAATGAAGAAAACAAAATAGTAAGTTCCCTTTCTCAGTTCTTTATACCTTTTCTTGCATCTAACAAAACCTTTGAAACAGGTAACAGAACTCATTATGAATAAGAATATCTCAGGAAACAAGCTTAACTCCCACATTTCAAGGTCAGTTTGCAGAGCTGAAACTTAAAAGATCAGTTATGCATCTATGCATAAAAAGAGTCATTGGATGCACAGCTCTTTACAGCTCTTTTACAGAGTGCTTTACAATCTCTGTGTGTGCATACACATTGTCTCCATTATTTAGCCTGTCAATAATCAGCCAGGTTCAGGACTAATTACTGTGAGTGGGACAGATATTTTATTTTAAAAAATAATGAGTATACAAAAATGAAGGGAGAGTCTTCGAATGTCACACAGAGTAGTCATCAACCTGTGCCTCCATTTTATGTATTTTGTATATCAAGTGAAAAGAAATCAAAGAATTACAGAATCATGGAATTGTAGAGTTGAAACGCACAAACTACTCTGATATTAGTTCTCCTTCCCATATTCTGTGTAACACTCAAAGCAGCTCTAAAATATATGAGCTTTTGAAAGTGGGGCTTCCCTTTCAGATTGTTTGGAAGCTGCAACAACCACAGAATGCAGCAACAAGGCTGAGTGTAGGCATTTCAAGCCAAATACACACATTCTGCTGGTACCGAAATAGATATATTCTGGTTGCCAATCCACTTTGAGCACAGTTTAAGATGCCAACACTTCCAAATTACACCTATAGGACCTGGTGCGAAATATTTGCACTTTCACCCATTGACAACTACATAATATTTCAATACATTATCTGCCAACTGAGTACCGCTCATTGCCTTGCTTCCTCTCTAAGCACTTTAGTATGGTGGCAACTACCCTTCGGAACTCCCTCCCACCGCATATCAGAAGCCTTCTGTATGGTTTTACCAGAATATGATATAGATGTTCCTCTTTCAACAAACTTTTAAAAATACATATAGCATTTGGTATCTGTCTTTGGAACTAAATTGATTTTACATATGTGCTGTTGCTTTAAACTATATTAATAATTTTTTTTAAAAAAAAGTAATTGTTTTAAAGGTTATATGTGTGTTATTATGTGGTGAATCGATTCAGGCTGCTCCATGGGAAGTGATTCATAAATGAAACAAAAAACTATCAAGCTATTGCTGGATCTATGAGAGGAGTATTCATCTATTGGTTAGTTTACACGGACATAAAAATGTGAGTGGCTTTCCTGGATCAGGCTAAAGCTTTAATGAAACAAGAGCTATTTCTGCAAGTGATCAGTGAGATGCCACCAGACAACTAGCACAACGAACGTCAAGGAAGAGATAATCACTCTGTTTGCCCTGAAACTTCATAGTGTTATGAACATGA